AAAAACCTTAGAGGGGGCCTGCCCCTTAGCTCAGTTCTCTAAGTGGCTGCTTCAACAAAGCAGTCAGGCTCAGGCTGCTGTGGTTCCATCCCCTCAACTCAAGCCAGCCAAACCTTCCCTGAAGGCATTTGGAACAAAAAAATAAAATAAAATAAAACCTTAGAAACTCACTCATCTATGGCCTGCCTTTTCTGCATTTCTCAGTATAATTTGTGTAGATTTTAGTATTACTTAAATACAATACCTACAAATATTACTCCTTAAATAATTTCCAGAGACTGTATCTGGGATTATCTGCTAGGCACTGTTTCCTACCTGTTATAACAATTTTGAAACAGAAGCTTTGGTTAAGTAACCTCATCATGTTCCTTCCGAGTTTCCTGTGGTCTAAGCCGGGTTGGCGGGCACTTTGTGACGACTTCAGCGCCGGCTGGAGGGCCTTGTATTCATGCACCCTGATTTCATGTACAAGAGAGGCAGAGCAGCAGTCACTTTTGCCCTTGTGGCCATCCAGGACTCCAATGAGCTCTTTCTAGGCCATAATCTAGTGAGTTACCTTTGTACAAAGGACATCCAAGGAACATTCCTAGGTTTACCTGAACTTGTACAGTTGCGGATAACCGATATTGTCTGTCTGTCATCCAACATCTCTCCAGTGCTGAGAGCTAAACATTCGCCAAATGTGATAGTGTAGTCATTCATATGCTTGAATAGCACCCTAATTCTACTCAATAAATCATTCACCAGTTACATTATTTTTAAAGGGAATTCAAAAGCTCTCCAGCGCAAGGTGGCTGTGATGTGTCCGGCAACCCCACACAGCTGTGCGCCCTGAGTCGCGCTCTGCCCAGCTCCCCAGCCGGCGTCCGGGTTGGCTGTCTCCCTGCGCTGCCCATGCCAGCGCTCTCCTGGCCCTACGCAGATGGAGACTTCTTTCAGGGCAGAGATGAGCTCCAGATGAATGCAAGCTCCACCACAGAGAACAACAGCGAAGCTCTACAGGCTCCAGTTTGCCACCTGAGCTATGCAAACTGCAGCATGGAAGAAAACTTAACAGATGAAAGTGATTTATCGGAGAACGAGAAGGCAAATGACACAGCACTTGGCTACTTCAAGGTGGACCTGGATTTAAAGCCAGAAACAATAGCCAGCGTGGAGGAATCCTTCAGGGAGGAGTCCAGCGAAGCATTTCTGTATCCTGATTTCCTTCCTTCTCCCTTTGATGCTCTGGACTTGCACAAATTGGCCCTCTCAAAATGTGACACTTGGAAAGCAGCAGGAGCAGCTCTAGACGGCTCTACCGAGCGCCTGATAACGCGGCTCCTGGAGCTGGAGAGACTACAGCACACGACTATTCAAAAGGAGAGGCCGAGACTCCAAATGCTGTCCTGTGGTGCAGCGGCCTCCGAACAACCATCCTGCTCCAAAGCTACGTCGAAGGTGAGACAGTCAAAGCGTCCTGATTCTGTGAGTCTTCAGACGTCTTATGTAGATAGAAGTCGAGAAAAAGCAAAAACCAATTCTGGTTCTGGCAAGCCTGAACAAAACGCTACACGATGGAACTGGAGCGACGTCCCCAAATCTAAATGGACCCCCAAAACACCACTTCTAAAAAGTCTGTCCACCACAAAACAACTGAGTTCACCTTATGGTGACATCCAGAGCCCGCAGAGTCCCACTCCGATCTCATGCCAAGAAGCCCCCTGCAAGCCTAGTGCCCCCCAGGCAAGCCAGTCACTGGTTAACATGGCCTCAAGACGATGCCTGCCACCCAGGTCTCCAATACCAGTGTCATCTATAGCCTTGTCTTTTCCTGAAAATCACAAGGAAGAAACAAAAACTCCAAGGACCAGAAAGAAATTCCACCAAAGAACTATACTACTAAAGAGACCGTTCTATATTCAGAAGCTGAACTGTTTGCCACCTTCCTTTATAGGTAAGGGTAAGGGTACATTCACTGACCAAAAATAACTCTTTCCTGCCTTGCATTGTGAGCAAATCTATTCTAAGGCACCTTGCTAAATGTGCTTTATTCTGAGATACAGGCATTAAAAAACAGAAACCACACAATCGCTTGGCTGACTCGAATCACTGCTGCAGCGTCTGCACAGGGCTTCTGTGCTGACATAGCTTACAACCTTTGCACTTCTGCTGTAAAGAGGCGTTTTACTTAGTAAAGCAAAATATTCAGAAGATTGTTTTTTTTTTCTCAGTGTATTTCCACTATCAATAAACGGTAACTGGTTGCTGCTGTAGCCTTGTGTGCTCAATTACATCACATTGTATTTGTAGCCAAGTGAGCCTGTCATTCTGGCCTGCGGTCTCTTTCAGTTCTTCACCTCAGACACCTTCCCTTCTCCCTCTCTGCACACCTGCCCCTTCTCACCTCTGGACATTTTCTAGTCGCTTAAAAATTTAAAGAAGTTGCTGTTTTCCTAAAGAATACATGAGAGCCTCTAGATTCTCTGAAGCCCTTTGTGTTTCTCAGGCCCTTTTATCATATACAATGAAACTACCATCAGTGCCTTTTTGTAAATGTGCTTAGTGCAGGGCCTACAGGGTCTCACTACACAGATCAGACTCGTAGTGCTTCTTCTGTTTACAGCCTCCCAAATGTGGGGATTACAGGCGCACCACCGCACTCAGTCTCAATGGCCAGCTCATCGTGCCCCGGGGCGGGGCCGGCACAGCACGCCTGGGATGGAACTCTGGTCCCTGCCTCTGCCTAAGCAGGCGCTTTAATCTGCTGAGCTATCTGGCTGGCCATCAGTTTCCTCTGGAGCCAAACGACAAAAGGGGTGAAAGAACCTGTGCCCATTCAGAGCACCGGTTTAAAACGCTGAGGCAGAACCTGCAATGAGCTCAGCGCAGCAGCCAGTCTTGCTCCTGCGGTTTGCCCCAGGCACTACACTGCTGCCTGAGCTCTGGCCCAGGGAAACCCAGACTGCAGGACTGGCAAGCCTTGGGAAACAAAAGCGAGGGTCCTGGCTTCTGTCAGGCTTGCTGAATAGGACACCTGGGAGCAAGAAATGTAAGCAAGCAAGTGACTCCACTGCAGGTGCTCACAGCTCACACCTTGCAACCGCAGAATAACCAACTGCAGGTTTGGCGCTTTTTTTTTTTTTCCCATTTTTTTCCCCATAATTTTATTGAGAAACAAATAGCAATGAGACAGTTTCAAACCAAATCAGTAGGACAGTTTCAATAATTAACAGACTGCATACCTTCTTCCTAGTGGTTAATTGCTGTACAAGATGCGGACATGATATCCTATTTACAAACACCATTAGAACAAATCCCTCTATTCATTAAGAGAATGTAACTATATATCTGTCCTAACCATTTTGAATACACAGATACAAAATGGACATTCATCTGTATCCCCTTTTTTTTGCTAAGTTCTGTTATTTGAATATTATAGGTGTGTTAACTCAGCAAAATATTCTAAAAGAGTCCAGTAGTCCATAATAGTATTGGGACTTCCATTTCACTAGCAATGTCAGAAATTGTTGACCTGAGTCCCCCACAGCTCAACATGACACCATGGCTTTACTTCTTATACTTCGTTTTTATACTTTTCTGCTGGATGGCTAAGACCAAGGTAAAGCAGGACCTATGCAACGAGAGCTGTAGCTTTTGGGTCTGCAAAGGTCAGTGAAATCCACGCAGGATTTATCCTGAGACCCTGTACCTCAGATTGTAGAACGTTTTGTCAGTGTCAGCCATGTGGATGAGTCATGGCCACTGCTTGGCCAATGTGCTCTCTGTGAAAGCCTGAGAGAATGTTTTCTCTCCATGTGACTCTCCTTAGGCACACTCTATATCATCGATCACTTTCCTCTTTGGCCCCATAATCTCCTTGATCAGAAAGTTTGGGACACTACTGAGTTACATAACGTTATAGTACAAGTCCTCATATGTCCTGAGTCTTAATTGACCTTGGAAGGCTAAGGCCCAAACGTTGGCTTTCCTTGTGGCCCTCCTTTTTCTCTAATTTTGGTCTGCAAACTTACGTTGTTAACCATCCAGAAGACAAGCTTATTGTTATTACCATACAACCTAGGCTGTTAAAGGTTTGGCTATTTTGGGGTGGTACGCTTTGGTTTTACGAGGGTGACTGGTGAGTTCCAATCACACAATTAGCTGACAATGCCCCACAGTAGCAAAGCCTCTCCCCACTCTGCCAACCCAAGACGGTGTTACTAGGTCTTCATGCATCCTCCTCCAAAATGAGACGAGTATCTTGAGTTCAGGATTGGTAAGGTGCATTAATGGGCAACTGAAATTAATGCCAGACAGCAAATGTAGCTGGCTTTTTTTTTTTTACCAAGAGTAAAGCTTATGTCACAGGGAGCATATTCAGCCTTTCAGGTTGACTTCAAAAGAATTTTCTGCAACCCTAGCAACACAGCAGAAAATGAATTGGCCAGTCTTTCTTAAGGTAATGAGCCTCATAGCCAGGATGGTGTAATGGCGCTTTCAGAGCTACGCTGCAAATGTGTCTTGCAGCATAGTTGCAACACAGTGACAGGTTTTGGCTTCTGCCAACTCTTTCATTTCCATTAGTTTTTACAGAAAATGTCCTGCATCTTGTTTTGACCAGCCCTTTGTATCACTTACCTTCTTTACATACATTTTATGCCCTCAACTTTTGGGTCATACTAATTTCATGACCAGATGGGATGTGTTCACACCTTACCCTGCCAGGTCAGGACTGGCAAATGGGCCATGTCATCGCTGGGATTACTGGCCACCCACAACCAGTCTGAATGTGAACCCAGCTCTTCCCTTACCAGCTCACTCACCATTTCTTGAACTGCTTCCCTTCTCATTTGTAAAGTGGATGGAATTCTTTCATCTCACATCATCACAATTAGGTAGCTGCTGGTGAAATGGACCTGACCTACAGCAATCCTCAAGAAATGCAACAGGAAATAAGGACAGGCGTGTGGAGCGACCCTGCAGCTGCACTGACTGTCAGCGGGGGAACTAGGACTCCCAGCGGGTACTTTCCAGGGCCTGCACTACGGGCTGGCTCTGGGCCCTGACGAAGTGCAGACTGATTCTGGACTTCATCTCTGGACAATTCTGAACACGAATTTACCTGCTAGGTCATAAGGTGGAAGTATACAGGAAACAGCTGGAAATATTCGTAAACATTTTTATTGGATATCACCACGTTACTTCATTTAGCATACGGGTAGACCGAAACATGAAGGTACTGAGTACTTAAGCCCCACCAGATGTTTTTCACTCATGGTCCAAATTGCATTAAGTATGTTAAAAACAACCAGAGCACTGCCATTTTTCAACTACTAGGCAAAGGCATTAATAGCTTTAAAGATTAGTGTAAATTGCTGAAACTTCTGTATCCGAGCTCCCACAATGAGAAAAAAAAAAAATGCTCATTTGTGGGAACTGGAGGTACAGCCTCCTCATTGGCCCCAAGGACCGGAGGAAAGGCGCACCACTGGGGACCTGTAGACTTGTGGCTACTCAACCAAGTTGAAGCCAACCTCTAGTTACCTTTGAAGGAAACATCTGGCAACCCTGTCCAAGGCGAGTGGGACTGCTTATGAAGCTCCATGGTCAGCTGTCCATTATTCAGAATCCTTAGCTCACGTTGAACCAACTTTCCCACCTGGGGGGCACGTGGATGGCGTCCAGGTGCTCAGCACTCCCCTTCAGCAGGCACCTGCACGCTCCTGAGCTGGGCTGGAGGCAAGGGCTCCACATGTCACAGGAAGGTGATGAGCACAGAGCTACCGGCCCAGCAGCCCAGCTACAAGGCCACTCATGGCCGCTGCCACTTGATCCTCTTCTTAGAAAGCCAGTATGACCAAGCAGCCCCCCATGGAACCTGGCAGTAGCCAGCACTGGCTGGGGCAGGGGCCTCAGCACAGCCAGTCCCTCCTGCCCCCAGGGCTACACTTCTCTGTCCACGAGTTTGTTGTTTTTAAATGCTGAAGGGGCCGGGGAGATGGCTCAGTGAAATAAGCGCTTCCCTGGCAAGCACAAGGGCCTGAGTTCAATCCCCAGTTCCAAAAAAAAAAAAAGAGAAAATGCTGAAGCATTTCCTAAGAAACAGCAGGCAGATGGAGGCCAGAAAGCCCAGTGTGCCTGACAGTGAGCAGCAGGTCCCTGGCATCTCCACTGCCAGAACCAGAGGAACGCAAAGGGTTTATAAAAGCCTTTAGCTTAACTGTCACGGATGTCCTTGTTCTTTCTGGAACTGGGGGAGAACTGTCCTAACGTCATACATTAGACTAGCTGAGGAGAGGCAGCTCTCACGGCTCGGCTGTGCACTCGGCGCTTGGGCAGCTTCCTGCCTGTGAGGAAAGCTGTGCTCCACAGCTGTTTCCAAGCTGTGGTTCTATGACAGGGCAGCCTGCAGCAGCCTGGCAAGTCGCTCTGCACCTTTCCCTGTGGCTGAAGAGCACAGGCACATCAGGGCCTCTGGTAAGTGACAGGACTCTTAGCAGACAGTCCCCTTCAGCCCAGAATGCTATTGGTGCAGGAGTGCATCTACCGTTAGTGAAGCAACTGAGCATCACTAGGCAAAAACTAGGGTCTATAACTTAAAAGACTCAGCAGACAAGATGGTATCAAGAGGTATATTTTATTGTTTCCCGAAAAGCCAACTGGGAACATGTGCTGCTGAAATGCAAGATACAATTCGGAATGGTAACATGAACAAGTGGGTACACATGGAGCACTTTCAGAGCAGCTTCTGCGTCTTGATCACTAAATGGAAAGGCTCTTCAGAACGGGCCCTTACCCTACATGCAGAAGGAGAAGAAAAGTTAAGGGTGCCACAGCGACACAGCAAGACAACTGGAAAACATTTTAAAGCCCATATAGTGTACATCATTAATATGTAAAAACACAATGAATGTGCCATAAACATCTCGGTAAGACACTCCATAGAGAGTAAAAATTCACACTATGTGCCGGAAGCAGGCTCTGCCAGGCCGTGCATGTGCGGCGCACATGGCACTGCTGCTCTACTGACGCAAGGAAACTGCAGGTCTGACCACGCAGCTGCTTCCTACGGCTACTGCATACAGGACATTCTCTCACTGCTTATTGGCCTAAATTGAAATTTGATTCAACACGGGATTGTTTCAGTTCTGAGATTTTATTTCAACCTACATAGACTTCTATGGAAAAAGTACAGGTACGCAGCGTGGGAGGAGTGCAAATCTGGAGCCAAACCAACACATTCAATTTCTCTGCACCTATCACATAGCATAAAATACTACATACTTTGTACTATAAGAATGTCCTGAGTATTTTTGTTAGAAAAAAGCATCAACTTCAATAGTAAGATAAAAACATAAAATAGAGAGAGTAAAATGAGAAAGCTGTTGGAGAATGAAGAAGTGTATACAGGTAGGAATGACCTTAGGGGGTGGGGGGATAATACAGGGGCTCATTTATAACACACCTCCCTGCTGAAAACCTTAAAATCCCCCCGTTTCTGAAGACCCGTGAGAGCTGCCTCTCCTCAACTAGTCTCATGTATGACATTAAGACAGTTCCTCCCCCAGTTCCAGAAAGAACAAAGACATCCGTGACAGTTATGCTAAAGGCTTTTATAAACCCTCAGGTCTGATAAATCACTTGACATAATTTTTGCCATAGAGTGTCTGAAAGCCCAAAGTTCATGGCAGTTAACTGTATTTAGAAACTCAAGTTACTATAAAAACATGCATGCAGGTCTGGGCAGCAGGACCATCACTACATGACCTCAGTGGAACAGATCTTTGAGTTCCAAATTCTGTCTCAGCCAAATTATAAGTTCAAATAAAATTGTGTGTGTGTGTGTGTGTGTGTGTGTGTGTGTGTGTGTATACATGAGTTTGTAGAGTCCCATGTAAATAGACAAATTTAAGAAAGCTCAATTTGGCAATACAAGAACTACAATATCACCTTTCTCGTTTTCCTTAAGAAAAACTGACAACAGCTCTGAGTATTTTGTCTGTTTTTAGACCACGACCAGAGCACTTGTTGAAATTAGAGAACAGAAATGACAGCAGTTGGACAGTCTTCTTCAAGTGCTGCTTCTACTCTTTTGCATCTGCCTGCAGCTCAAGAGTACTGTGGCGCGTGTTACGCTGGCAGCTCGTGTGCTTTGTATGCTCCTTGGGATCCCATTCTGACAACCACGTGGCACGTGGGGTCTTACCCCCCAGGACTCTCTTTCTACCACTCAACCACTACGTTTATGTTACAGGAGACAGGAAGGAGAGTCAAGTGGCGTGATAAAACAAGCGCTTACAGATGAACACCACAATCAGCACTACTATTCTAAATACCAAACACTAATGAAACCCAAATCATAATGCTGAAAACTAAAAAATTAAGACAAAAACTAAAAATTCTTCTTTTTAATCTTTTATAGGACAGAAACCTTAGCTCATGTCTTCTGGTTGTCATCATCTTCCACTGAGCTGCACCTAAAACACAAAGAACAAGTAACAAGCAACTTTGTTTTTTAAAGAATAAGTAATAATCTTGAAGGTATAAGGTGAACTGTTTCTAGTGAAAAGTTTACTTATTAAATATTTATATAAAATGAAGACATGAAAATCACCAGAAGCATCAAAACATTAACTTTTTTCAGTGAAAATAACTACTAAACACTTGACTATGCAGCAGACTGTCACCAGGTAATGGTGGGAAATCACTCCGTATCAGTAAGCTGGAAGCTGCACATGTGATGCCTTATTTAAAAGGCTTCACTCTACCTGCAGATGAGAACAAATCACCTTTACTCATTTAAGTCTAAACCATGAAGAGACGGGGTGTGGGTTGAGGCTGGCTTATTAGGCCATCTATCACCTTCCTGGCTGTGCAGTTCATGTCAAGCCTTTAAATGGCGCAAAGCCCACCAGGAGAGTGCTGCTATTCTGATTTTCCATTCTTGAATGCACCAAAAGGTGCATGCTTGGTGTAATTAGGTGCCTGGGTGAATAAGAAAATCCCATTTACAATTTAAAAGTATTATATAAGCCCCTTAAATTGGATTCTTTCTCAGGGGAACAAACATTAACCCCAAACAGAAAGGATTACATACACTTTTGGAAATTCTCTTCTACCATGTTAAAAATAGGAATTCCTTTGTTGCAAAACCAAGTTGATTGACATGATTTTGTTTTAAACTGTTGCTAAATGTTTATCTACACATGCTGTCAGAAATAACCTTGTTAAGAAGGTGAAGCTGGTGTCTCAGCAAATCAGACCCCTTGGAGAAGGCGTCGAATGGCCTGTGCCCCGTTTTCCTTTTTCTCTTTCCGCACCATCAAAAGGAAAAGTGAGAAAATAGCAGAAACATTAGTTAAATCCTGAATTAGATCCTACAACCTATAGGAATAATCTGACTACACTGAAAGCTGACAATAATCGTAGGGTTTTTCTGGATGAAATAATTAGCACCCTAATTACTAATAAAATGATCAATGTCTAGCTAGGCTTACATCTTAAACAATACTATCAATAAAAACTTTGGGGAAAAAAAGAAAGGTTTTAACTATGGTTTACCTGACTTACCAGTACTGAAGACAAAAACTTTTAAAAATGGCTACAAATGCCTTGTTCACAAAAGACTTTATTATCTAGCGATGCATACTGAGAACATACACAAGTCTGCATGGCCCACTTCACATGCAGCAGAACCATCTTCACTTTACAATAAGTGAGTGTCAACTGTTTTATGCCATAGACAACACTTTAAGGTCACATTCTTAAAGAAAAGCTTCATTTACAAAAGAAATAAAAGGTAAAGAAGCAATTACCGCTTTTAAAAAGCAGCTGCTTTGTTCAAGAGTGGAAGGTTTATGCCTGTATTGAAAGACAACATGATCACAAATAATGAAAACAATGAACAAATGAAAAACATTGTTACCATAAAGCAGTACACTTTCAAAATGACATACAAATAGTTAAAAATTTCATTATGTTGTCTATCTAATCTTTAAATATGAGGACTTTCAGAATCAGGCCTCAGCATTTGTAATCAGTAAATGAAAACTGCATTGTTTCTATGTCACTAGGAACTATAGTTAACAAAATGTATATAAAGTCTATAGCAAGTTGATTTAAAAAAAGGAAAGTTAATAAGAAACAGTACACTGAAGGCGCTCTATCCATCAAGCGCATACTCTTCAAATTTTAAATGCGATGAACAGAACAGAAATTGTAACTACGCCACAGTCGCAATGTCAAAAAATAAAACAAGATCAGCTATCACACATGCAGGGAATTCTGCCACAAAGCTAAGATCCCTCATTTGTCAATTATTCCAATAAAATAACAGCTTAAAACACCAGTGATGTTGATGGTAGCTTACCTTCAGTGTACTGACTGTTGTACACAACCTGCTTTAAAAGAGGAGACATCCCTGCAGGCAGGCTCAAGAAGAAACAGACCCCCTTCGGCACTGACTACACCCAGGGCATGCTGCCGTGGCCTGCACACACACACCTAGGAAAACGTGAATATAAACAGCATTTATGCTGGCCATTTCATTCGAAGACCAAAATGAAGCCAAGTCTGCTAAAAATGGATCATCCACCCAGTATTACTACTCATTTTATAACAGATGCTTTTGTCTTTTATGTGAACTGCAACCATATACATTAGCACTGTAATTTTGTGCAGTCTTGGCAATTAAAACAATTCTACAGTGAAACTTCACATAAGACACAAAACAGATTAACTAACATTTCTAAAAGAAATATCACCCTTGGTGTTAATTCAAATATATCATGCTTCCTCAAATTTGCTGGAGAAATATTTATAAGTTTATATACATTAATAATAAACTGCTGTGAAATTTCTTCAGTCTTTGTATTTAATTACTCAAACCCTTGCAGTTTCTTCATCTTGTTTAAATTTTTTCCTGGATGAATGCATGCTGTAGGGCCTGGTTGATGCTAATTCGTTTAGCTGGGTCCAACATTAGGATCTGGTCCAACAAGTCCTTCAGCTGGTGTACTTTTTTACGTTGGTCTTCAGGAAGTCGCTGGCACCCAATCAAGTCAGCCAACAGGTCCTTAGTTGGATTAATGGTGCTCATGACAGTAACTTTCTCCTAAAAATAATTTTATAATGTACATCTCTAAATAAGCTACTAAACACATATAACTTATCAACCTCTTTTCTGTGTACCCAAAATATTAAAACACAAAGAATATGTTTATTAATAACAAAAACTTTTACATGTTTCTATCCTCTACATTTTTTCAAGGAACAATTACATGCTAATGCTCCACATCAGCAAAGAAACGGCACGCCTCTACGGCCTCGGCTACTTCCCTGCCCCTGTTCTGATGGGCAAGACACAGGCACAGGCGGGCACCTCGAGGTGCTGCTCGGTACCTGGGCAAAGCCAGGGATGCATGTGCTAAGAAGGGACACTGCTTCAGAAGGCAGCGTTCACACAGACAGCACTTGGCTTCGAGGAGCTCAAGCACTGCTCTACAGGCAACAGGAAGCCAGCGAGGGGTCTGGAGCCAGCGAAATGCACACTCGGCTCTGGCTGCGGGACGAGCGCCGGGCAGCAGTGCCGAAGCACAACAGGAAGCCAGATCGAGAACAGGGTCCAGGGGAGCAGCGGAGGCTTAAATGTGCCCTAGCACAAAACAGACATTTAGAAGCTCATCTTCTTCCTAATTTGATATATTTTGAACTGTAGAATAGTAGAAAAGGGTATTACATACTTTGTTTAAAAAAAAAAAAAATTAATAGCTCCAAGCACACAATTCATCAACAAGATAACCATTTAACACAGTACACTGGAAACAGACTTACCCTCTCTGTTACTTTATCAACTTCTATGTACATGAAGTTGAGATTTTGATCAAAATGCTGATCTTTAAATACACCTTTCCGAATCATCTACAAAAAAAGAAAACAAACAGAAACAAACTCTGGAGTTTTCAAGTATTACGAAACAGTCTGGCCAGCTAACAATTTATACACAGCAAGGCCCACATTCCCTGGTTCACTGAAATGGATGAACATCTGTGGACAAGCCACTCTAAATGCTTGGCCAGGAACTCCTCAGGAATATGACATTACATTCCTCTAGTAGTAACCCAGGCTAATTATATCAAGTTGTGCTTTCACTATACAAAAGTAGGGATTAAAGGAACCCTTGAAAAGCAGTTTTTTTAAGGAAAAATATTAGAACTCAGCCCTTTCCTCTTGGTAGTTAGGAAAATATTTTACAAATTATGTTCCAACAGCCTTAGTATATGTCAGACTTCATTAAAGTATTGACACAGCTAATTTCTATGTAAATTACCCTAAAAGCCTAATGTAACAATTCAGATATCTAAAAACCATAATGGTATCTGATCTATGAGAAAAACCTGTGAATTTTTCATGAGGTCAGTAAACAAGCTAAAAGTGTTTAAAAGATTTTCATAAATTTCTAAAGTCTTGTGTTCATGTTAAACAGAACCAGTTATTATACCTGGAGGATCCAAGAGGACTTTTTTTTTGGCATCAGGATTCAAACCCAGGACCTCATGACTGCCAGGTGGGCACTTGTACCACTGAGCTATGTCTCCAGCCCCAGGGTGACTTTCATGTTCAGAGGATGTTAAAAAGTGAATTTTCCTGACACCTTCTTTTCCCTAATAGCTTCCAATCATAAGCTGTCATCAATATTCAGTGTTTATCTATTCATTCTCTGTCCTCTAATTACTTCTTTGCTTTAGAATCTGCTTTTTTATCTTGTCTCTCAAATATTTGTAGTTTCTAGTACAAGGCTGTAAAGTACACACTTCTGCAACCAATACACTCTTCTGCCTGGTCAATGAAAAAAGAGCTTTCTTTTCTCTTTTGATAGCTCTTGCCTGATGAGAATCACTGATCTGAACACTGGAAATATGAAAAGAGCTGAGGACTCAAGGTAGCTATTCTCCCTCTAGTGACTTCATTTCACAGCTACACGTTTAAGTATCAGCTCATCAATCTGTAAGAAGCTAAGCCCATCGTACGTTCACGCCGATGTCCTACCTTATTTGGCATCTTTCCTTTGAGATCCATGGCAAGCTTCAACATGTGGTTATTGGTTTTACCAGGAAACAAAATTTTTCCAGTATAGAGCTCATACAACGTACAGCCTACAGACCACATATCTATACCGTAGTCATAGCTTTTGCCTATAACTGAAAACAAAATGGGAGCTTTAACACAGGAGGCAAGCACAACATGCCGACTACTCATTCTTATTTCAGTTAATGGGGACTAAAAGGCCGACCAACAACCACAACCTGAGTTTCTCCACTGGGCACTTAGTTTCGAGTTTTTTCCCACTAATTCTTAACAGACTTAAAAATGAGGGTGTGGGACAGGAATGAAAGGGGAGGGGGTCAAGAAACTATGCATTTCTTCTCTTTCATTTTCACCTTTGGTGGAGAAACTAATCAACCTCAACTAAGGCAACAGCAGAGGAAAAGAGCTCCCATATAATCCACAACCATCGGATCAGACCCTGAACAACCCAGAGCAGCCTTTTAAGGCCGAGGACCTCCACACTGCTTTGCTACTCCTGCTCGATACGACCAAGACTCCTGTCACAACTACCTTCATTCCACCTGAGGAGGATCAACTTGCTACGGTTCCCTTCCTCAGGAATGGCCTCGAGCGGCTGCTGAAGTGTGATGGAAAACAGTGCTTAGACGGTAAATCCGCTGTTTCCACTGCAGAGGGTGGCCCAGGTCAGGGCACTGTGAGAAACTTACTGATCTCAGGAGCCCGATAAAATCTACTGACAAGGTAAGGTGTTATGTCATTATCCGCGACGTGGGAAGCCGACCCAAAATCACAGAGCTTTAAAATCGTTTTTGATTCATTAACCTGAAAAACATTTTTAAAGGAAACTTAATCCATGCCCCGAATAATAAACACAAATAAATAAAATCATTTTTAAGTCATATCAATTCTAATAGTAAGAACACAAATCACTCATTTTAAAATTCTTTCTCTATTTTACAACTCAATTTCCTCATAATGAAAATTTAAGAGCTCTCAAACACTTTACAACTGGAAAATCTTTTCAGTGAGGAAATGATAGTACTAAGTACACTTAATAACAGTCAAAAAAGTGGGATAGTGAGAGAAAAAAATAATTTTCTCATTCACAAAGCAAAGCATCCCTTAGAAATCCTTTTTCAGAGGCCTGAAAAAGCTGATTTCCTCCCTGAAGGAACACGAGATGTTCAATAAAGGAATCAGACTTGTTAGCTTTCACATGCCAGAAAATTATAATGGCAATGAAAATAGAAAACTTGGAATAACTTTATAGGGGCAAAAAATATATGCTTCATCTGAAGCTGAGAGAATCCTGAAGTTAGCAATCATTTCTAGTCTAAAAAAATACTGAATCCCTTAAAGCTAAAGAAATTAGTTGAGAAAAGGCCAGGTAAGAGATGGCTCCACGTTAGCAGGCTCAGGGGCTAATGAAAAGGGATTCACAGTCCCGAGCCCTGCTTGCCCTCCCGTCAAAGAGCACACAAAGGAGTACAGCACTCCAAATAGCCCTGGCACACAAGAGCCGGGGGCGCTACACACTGTACTACCTACTCTCCACAATATCCATGGACAACACTAAAACAGAAATGCCTGCTTTTACCTCCACATCAATCACAAGTCCCTTAATTGGAGGATTAGGAAACAGGTATATTAAAATGGAACCACACAAGAACAAAAAATAGCTTCTGTTTTTGGTGTGGTAGTATTGTGTATTGAACCCAGGATTTTCACACTGAACTAAGTCTCAGCCCTTTTATTTCGAGACAAGGTCTTGCCAGGTCACTATGCTGCCCAGGCTGTGGAATTAATTTCATTAACAAGTGTTAGCTCCATATTCTCTAATGTTTTAGGCTTTTCGTCCTCAGGAAAAGTAAAGACATTCAGTTTCTAAAACCCATGTGGAAGCCTGTACTAGTTCACCCTTAATTCAAGGTAAAGTGAGGTGCTAAAAACAACAGCTTTTTTTTTTTCCCCTTCATTTTTTAATAAGGGTCTTCAGGGTCTCACTACGTAGCTCAGACTTATAGTGATCCACCTGTGTTCAGCCTCCCAAGAGCCAGGATTACAGGCGCGCACCACCACGCCATCTTAATTACCATCTCAGCGCGCCCCTGGGGTGGGGCTGGAACAGCCTGGAGACTGAACCCCTGGCCCCTGTGGCCTGCTTGCAGTTGCTTTAATCTGCTGAGCTACTTGGCCGGGCCTTAGGTCTTATTCTTAACCTCCACAGTGGTTTACACACGTGTACACTATATAATTATCTTCTAAAACACATGCTTTGATATGGATGCTACATTTCACAATTAAACAAGAGAAAGAAAAATCTGAAGTTATTAAAACCACCAAGTTGGGGCTGGGGAAATAGCTAGGCCAAGTTTGATCCCTCGTACTGCAAAATAAATAAAACTATCAAGTTGGCTACATAACTTTAACATTCACTTAAAACGCACCTACTGTTTCCCTGTAACTACTAAGGAACTCTAACCTAAGGTCTGTTATACTTGATATAAATTCAGACTTCAAGTACCATAATTATTTTAAAACATTTTTTAAAAAAGAAAGAGGGCTGGCCTGATAGCTCAGTGGATTAAAGCGCCTGCTTAGGCAGAGCACAGCAGCCAGGGTTTGATCCCAGCATGCAGTGCCGGTCCTGGTCCCAGTCCCCTGGGGCACACTGAGACAGTTACTGAGACTGGGCATGGTGGCATGTGCCTGTAATCCCAGTGCTTGGGAGGCTGAAAACAGGAGAATCACTAGGAGTCTGATCTACATAGTGAGATCCTGTCCTAAATACAGGGGGTGGGGGGTCGGTGGGGAGAACTGTGAACTAAGTATCTTGAGTTGTTAAACTGCAATAAATTCAAAACACTCTGAGGACTTCCGCTTGTTAAAAGTCCAGTGTCCAGGGAGGACACCTGCTGTGTGCAGCCGCCCCAGAAGCCTCTCCTCAGCACTAGCTGCAGGACAAAGCATACATTCAAATAAATAAGCAAAATGCAGACCACGCTCCTGGCACAGGAGCTAGGCACTCTCCAGGCTGCTAAAGGACTTGACTTGTGAGTGCCACAGAGCAGGTGGGGAAACTGGGCCAGGAAGGAGGGCACGTGCATCAGCCACAGCCATGTGCTCCATCTCAAGAATGTCACCGACAGGGGACATCTCCACACTGACCACACCAGAAGTCACTAGCGGAACAGGCCAAGACTTCCCAAGGGACATTCCCTGACCACAGCTGAGTCCTACGGTTTGGGTCCTCAGTCACAGCTTCCTATTATACACCTTTTAAAACTCAACTCCACATATGTGCTTACAAGAGAACAATTGCCTCAATCACTTCCACCAGTCCGGAAAACACAGAAACAAAGATATGCACACACTACAGTAACAGGTGCATTTTCTAAAAATATACCAGACGAAACACATTATTTCTAGACAAAGGCATTCTTGCAGTTTGTGCATGCTCTGAATCTATCTAGCAAAATCAAAAATAGAAGGGGAACAATCCATTTCTTTCTCATATTTTGCTCTTAAGTTTCATGGCCCAATTTTTAAAAAAGTAAGCTGGTGGAATTGTTCATAGAGTTATTAACATAAGTTATGCTTCTAGGAGGTTTTGTTTTGTTTTGTTTTTGGCAGAACCAGGGATTGAACTCAGGCCCCTCCTCTTGACAGACAAGCGCTTATTCCACTGAGCCATCTCCCCAGACCCCATTAAGTTATGCTGCTGAGATGTCATTTCTTTCTTTCTTTTTTTTTTTTTTTGTGGAACTGGATGATTGAACTCAGTCCCTTGCACTTGCCAGGCAAGCACTTATTCTACTGAGCTATCTCCCTGGCCCCTTGAGATGTCATTTCTGAAACATTATAATCATTAGCAGTAAGAAAAGATACAGGTACACAAGGTGGTCTAGCTGTTTCACTTACCAGGATGTTGTCCGGCTTGATATCTGCATGTAGAATATTGCACCTTTTAAGGAGTTTCAATGCCAGGAACAGCTGCTGACTGTAAGATCTTACAGCTTTAATATGAAGCCCAACATCCTTACCGTATTTTTTTAATACCTCTCGTAAATTCATACTTTTAGGGAGAAAGAACAAAAAACAAAATAAGGGTTAAAATGCAAAATGAAGTTCTATAAAAGGCAAAAAAAAAAAAAAAAAAAAAAGAAAAAGAAAAATCCACACATAAAATAGAGTGCAAAATATACTTTACAATAAAGTCTACAACTTTTATCCACAATGCTGAAGCATATCAGAAAGCTAACTCTTGACCTTTGCAAAGTTAGAAAACAAAAACTAAGAGCCAACTAAAAAGCCTCCAACACCTAGATAACCTGCCCCAGCCCTTATCCACAAGGAGGGCAGACATGGAGCGGCCACGCTCTCAGTCAAGGCGCAGGCTCTGACACTGTACCTGAGAGGCTCGAACACAAGGCACAGATGCTGCTTGTGGTAGAAGTGCCTGAAGAGTCGCAGGCAGTGGAACTTGTCATCAGGGTCGGCATCGTTGAGCTTCTTCAAGAATTCCAGTTCTTTTAGGCCAGTCTTTTGCCTGCAAGCAAAGCAAAATTAGATCTAAACTAAACACATAGCATTTCACAGGGCGGCGTCTGCTAGACCCAGGCTGACAGAGCCTATGGACCTACTGAAGAATAAATCCACAGTAGTTTATTCTTAGCCAAATATTTCCATGGATAGGATTAATCTCCAAAATAACCAGCATGCTCTAAGGGAAATCCATCCGGCATACCTCACTGCAAAATGTCTTTTAGCAAGAATGAGGCTACGCTGTAAAACAGTCTTCTAGCTCCTTTAAGAATGTAGCAGTGGGTAGGTCTTTTTAAGTTTTAACACTTAGTTGTTTTATTATGAACATCTGGTTATAATTTGTTAGTAAGTTACACTGTGAGTGTAAGCCTAGGAAATACAACACTTCAGTAAAAATTTACAATACTTTTTTTAGCATTTCAAAGCCAGTAAATTGACTTAAGTACCAGCTCTGTAGGTGGCATATACAATGTATTAAAACACAGGCACAGCAATTATTTACCCTACTAAAGTGAAAAGAGATCAGACACAAACACTTCCCATAATTAGTTAATAAATGAGTCCTTATTATCTGTAGGCCTCCACACACACACAATCGCCCCATTTCTCACTTCTGGTCTAAAGATACGGCAAAAGATGGCACAAACAAGTAGTACAAGGAGAACACCCAAGTTATGCTAGGCACTAAGATGAATTCAAAATATAATCCATCTATGGCTCGCTCTTCTGCCCTCTGATCTTACATCAGCTCATTGTTCCTGATGATCTTCACGGCCACCTCTTGGTTCGCTCTTGCATTATCTCTCGCCCGCACAACGTTGCTGAAGACACCTTGTCCAGTGTAGCCATACACGTTGTAACGCTTATCTAAGACTTCACCTATGTTCACACCTAGAAAAGCCAGAGGAAGTCAGAAATCTGCTCGTGATGAAGAGAATCAGAAAGTAGCAAGCTATGCACTGACTGAAGTATGACATCTCCACTTTGTTTTCTAGAATGAGAATCACAGCCATGCCCCTTTCAGGTAACTACAGGGAAGGCTGTCCTACCAAGTGCTAGCGACTGTCACACTGATGGAGTACAAATGTCACTGCTGTCCTTCCTGCACGACAGACAGCACAGGACTGGCACCCAGGTACCTTGGCATGTTTGGGTTCCCACTAAGGTGAACAAGCAGCATCACTGCCTTCCAGAGGATTAACTCAGGGCTGAAAGTAACTCAGAACAGAGGTAGGCTGTAATTAAGTTTCTGCCTCCCCTCAATCTGTGGCACCTCCAGGCAGTTTACTGGAATACAAAACAGGTTCCTGTCTTGGATGGACGGGCTACACTGGTTAAGTCTTGAAACTGAAGACTTAGTCAATAGACTGTCATGATTTTTCAAGTTCTCCATCCACACACGTCCAAACCACACAACGTTGTATGAAACAAGAACTTACGGTAATAGCCCTCGGCATCAGTCCAGTTATCTCTGAGGTTGGGGTTCTCTTTGAAATCTTTTCCAATGCCAGCAGCCCGAAGACGAGCACTCTGAAATGAAGGAGGCAACGTGAGTTGCTGACCTACTACCCAGACATTAAAAGAACTACCGTTGTTATAAAAAAGGGCAACAAAATATTGTAATCCAAATGAAATGACTTCCAAAAATGTAACACAGCTGAAATAGGATTACCAAAGTTTTACATATTGCAGTAACACCTCAGAAAAAATCCTAAGGTGCCAAAAGCTCTTATGACTATGATTAGGGTATTATAAATGTAAATAAAAATGCCAAATGAGATCTGGTTTTCTCTAGCTGAAGAGACAGACTGAGACAAAACAAGACTGGTGTTGAGTTAATAAGCTCAGTGTCCCCTGATCACTCGTCGCCAGTTCTTGCCCTGCCCTGTCATCCACACAGGCATTTGTGCTCTGGCCACACACGCACATAATGTAATGACGTTCACTGGCCACGTTGGTTGTACATACGCAGAAAGCCAAAAATTTACACCTAGTATTTGGCAAAAACATTGCAAATCACAGGCCACGCCATCATAAGGTCCTCCCCACTATGAAGGCTTGGATATTAAATGTCCAAAGGCCTATGTGCTAAAGCGTGGCCTCCACAGTGGCACTACTGAAAGACAAAACTGTTCTGTAATGTATACGTGCGTGTTCCTATTTTTTTAATGGTACTGGAGACCAAGCTCAAGGCCTTCCTGGGATATGCCAACTACGCTGTGCCAACCAACCATTGCTGAGTTCGTCCAAGCCCTCTACATTACTTGTTTCAAGATTTCTGACAATCTCAGACTTAGGGGACAGGGATAAAACTAGCAGTTTTCAGACACCCCTGACCCAGACCATCCAAATGCTAACAACCACACACACACACACACACACACACACACAAAACAAAAAAAAAAAATGCAAGCTAACATCCACTACATGCGTTTTATCCTTTCTCTATTTACATATTATACTTTTCCTTTTCATCAGTTAAAGTTACTTACATCAGGTAGGGAGATGGCTCAGTGGCATAAGCGCCTTGCCTGGCAAGCACAAGGTCTGGAGTTTGATCCCCGGTATGGAAAAAAGTAAAATAAAATAACTTACATCAAAATATGCAGCAAACATATCATCAGATTCTGTAAACATGTCAGGTGCCAACAGCTTCTTTTGAGATGAACCTTAAAGGAAGTAATTATTAATATTTAAAAAACCACCAAGTACATTATATGGCAAGTCAAGTAATTCAAGCATTTCTTTTCTTCTTGAACATTTTAGAGTCACTTCATTATACTTACTATATAGAAAACTACTCACTTTACTAAAAACATGCATTCTACCAAGACCTAAAAAATCAACTTCTGCCACTGTCTAAATGAGTAAGCTAATAGTTAAACAATTACTTCATATTTATACACTTATTTTGAATTTCAACCTTAAATTTCCCACTACATGGGGGCCGGGGAGATGGCTCAGTAGAATAAGTGCTTCCCTGGCAAGTGCAAAGGCCTGAGTTCAATCCCCAGTTCCAAAGGAAAAAAAAATCCCACTATAAACAAAGAGCAACACAGATCTATATATACTTTCCCTCTAAGTTTAATCCTATAGAAAAATGAGCAAAAAAACCAAACAAAAAATACAATTACTTTAAGCACATATACATACAGCCAATCTCAATTACAGTAAGGAAAATGCAAGTTAAAACTACAGTAAGAGTGCTGACCAGGGCACGCTGAGACAGCAACTAAGATGGGGCGTGGTGCAACAAGCCTGCAATCCCAGCTCTTGGGAGGCTGTAAACAGGCAGATCACTATGAGTCTGATCTAGTAGGGAGACCCTGAATACCCTGTAGACCCTTCCCTAAAATACAAAAAAAAAAAAAAAACCAAAACAAAACAAAAAACCGAACTACAGTAAGATGCTGTTTCTCAACTATGATCTGGCCAAAATCTCAAACTCTGTGTTTTGTTAACAAGGTTCTGGATAAGTAGACATGAAGTCACTGTTTATGGAATGGAAAATAATATAGCCCCCCCTTTTTTTTTTAAGAGAAGAAACTGACAACGTATGGCAAAGCACATAATCATTTGTTCTTCTGATCCAACAATCCCACTTCCAGGCAAGTACAGCATCTTGAAATGACATCAGCTATTAAATTAGTATTTCACACACAGCCAACTGAACAAAATCTCAACAGCCACTGTTAAGAGGCTCTGAATGGCATGTTTAGAAGCAAGTAAGGAAGATCATACTTATGCAGGTGTGTACATCATATTTTTGCCCGTGTAGATAGAATTTAAAACACACATAGGGGCCGGGGAGATGGCTCAGTGGAATAAGCGCTTCCCTGGCAAGCACGAGGGCCCGAGTTCAATCCC